CAGTATTTTTTCTTCAGTACTGGTGGCTTCAGTAATGGTTTTCTTCAGTACTGGTGGCTTCAGTATTGGTTTTCTTCAGTACTGGAGGCTTCAGTACTGGGTTTCTTCAGTACTGGAGGCTTCAGTACTGGTCTTCTTCAGTACTGGTGGCTTCAGTACTGGTGGCTTCAGTATTGGTTTTCTTCAGTACTGGTGGCTTCAGTATTGGTTTTCTTCAGTACTGGTGGCTTCAGTATTGGTTTTCTTCAGTACTGGTGGCTTCAGTATTGGTTTTCTTCATACTGTGGCTTCAGTATGGTTTTCTTCAGTACTGGTGGCTTCAGTATTGGTTTCTTCAGTATGACTCTAGTGCTTCCAGTACTGTGGCTTCAGTACTGGTTTTTGTTTTCTTCAGTACTGGTGGCTTCAGTATTGGTTTTCTTCAGAACGGGTGGCTTCAGTATTGGTTTTCTTCAGTACTGGTGGCTTCAGTATTGGTTTTCTTCAGTACTGTGGCTTCAGTATTGGTTTTCTTCAGTACTGGTGGCATCAGTATTGTTTTCTTCAGTACTAGTGGCTTCAGTATTTTGGTTTTCTTCAGTACTGGTGGCTTCAGTATTGGTTTTCTTCAGTACTGGTGGCTTCAGTAATGGGTTTTTTTGTTTCTTCAGTACTGGTGGCTTCAGTATTGGTTTTCTTCAGTACTGGTGGCTTCAGTATTGTTTTCTTCAGTACTGGTGAATTCAGTGTTGGTTTTCTTCAGTACTGGTGGCTTCAGTATTGGTTTTCTTCAGTACTGGTGGTTCAGTATTTGGTTTTTCTTCTGTACTGGTGGCTTCAGTATTGGTTTTCTTCATACTGGTGGCTTCAGTATTGGTTTTCTTCAGTACTGGTGAATTCAGTATATTGTTTTCTTCATACTGGTGGCTTCAGTATTGGTTTCTTCAGTACTGGTGGTTCTTTTTCTAGTACTGGTGGCTTCAGTATTGGTTTTCTTCAATACTGGTGGCTTCAGTATTGGTTTTCTTCAGTACTGGTGGATTCAGTATTGGTTTTCTTCAGTACTGGTGGCTTCAGTATTGGTTTTCTTCAGTACTGGTGGCTTCAGTATGTTGTCTTCAGTATAGTGGTTTCTTCAGTACTGGTGGCTTCAGTACTGGTTTTCTTCAGTACTGGTGGCTTCAGTATTGGTTTTCTTCAGTACTGGTGGCTTCAGTATTGGTTTTTAGTACTGGTGGCTTCAGTATTGTTTTCTTCACTATGCTGGGTGCTTCAGTATTGGTTTTCTTCATATGGTGGCTTCAGTATTGGTTTTCTTCAGTACTGGTGGCTTCAGTATTGGTTTCTTCAGTACTGGTGGCTTCAGTATTGGTTTTCTTCAGTACTGGTGGCTTCAGTATTGGGTTTTCTTCAGTATTGGTGGCTTCAGTATTGTTTTCGTACTGGTGCTAGTTGGATTTCATTATATGGTGGCTTCTAGTATTGGTTTTCTTCAGTACTGGTGGTTCAGTATTGGTTTTCTTCAGTACTGGTGGCTTCAGTTTTGGGTTTTCTTCAGTATAGTACAGGTGGCTTCAGTATTGTTTTCTTCAGTACTGGTGGATTCATTTGTTGTTTTCTTCAGTACTGGGGGCTTCAGTATTGGTTTTCTTCAGTACTGGTGGCTTCAGTATTGGGTTTTTCTTCAGTACTGGTGGTTCAGTGATTGGTTTTCTTCATACTGGTGGCTTCAGTATTGGTTTTCTTCAGTACTGGTGGCTTCAGTACTTGGTTTATCTTCAGTACTGGTGGCTTCAGTATTGGTTTTCTTCAGTACTGGTGGCTTCAGTACTGGTGGCTTCAGTATTGGTTTTCTTCAGTACTGGTGTTCATATTGGTTTTCTTCAGTATGGTGCTTCGTACTGGTGGCTTCGTATTGGTTTTCTCATACTGGTGGTTTCAGTATTGGTTTTCTTCAGTACTGGTGGCTTCAGTATTGGTTTTCTTCAGTACTGGTGGCTTCAGTATTGGTTTTTCTTCAGTACTGGTGGCTTCAGTATTGGTTTTCTTCAGTACTGGTGGCTTCAGTATTGGTTTTCTTCAGTACTGGTGGCTTCAGTATTGGTTTTCTTCAGTACTGGTGGCTTCAGTATTGGTTTTCTTCAGTACTGGTGGATTCAGTACTGGGTTTCTTCAGTACTGGGTTTCTTCAGTACTGGTTTTCTTCAGTACTGGTGGCTTCAGTACTGGTGGCTTCAGTATTGGTTTTCTTCAGTACTAGTGGCTTCAGTATTGGTTTTCTTCAGTACTGGTGGCTTCAGTACTGGTGGCTTCAGTATTGGTTTTCTTCAGTACTAGTGGCTTCAGTATTGGTTTTCTTCAGTACTGGTGGCTTCAGTACTGGGTTTCTTCAGTACTGGAGGCTTCAGTACTGGGTTTCTTCAGTACTGGTTTTCTTCAGTACTGGTGGCTTCAGTACTGGTGGCTTCAGTATTGGTTTTCTTCAGTACTGGTGGCTTCAGTATTGGTTTTCTTCAGTACTGGTGGCTTCAGTATTGGTTTTCTTCAGTACTGGTGGCTTCAGTATTGGTTTTCTTCAGTACTAGTGGCTTCAGTTTTGGGTTTTCTTCAGTACTGGTGGCTTCAGTATTGGTTTTCTTCAGTACTGGTGGCTTCAGTATTGGTTTTCTTCAGTACTAGTGGCTTCAGTATTGGTTTTCTTCAGTACTGGTGGCTTCAGTATTGGTTTTCTTCAGTACTGGTGGCTTCAGTATTGGTTTTCTTCAATACTGGTGGCTTCAGTATTGGTTTTCTTCAGTACTGGTGGATTCAGTATTGGTTTCTTCAGTACTGGTGGCTTCAGTATTGGTTTTCTTCAGTACTGGTGGCTTCAGTATTGGTTTTCTTCAGTACTGGTGGCTTCAGTACTGGTTTTTCTTCAGTACTGGTGGCTTCAGTATTGGTTTTCTTCAATACTGGTGGCTTCAGTATTGGTTTTCTTCAGTACTGGTGGCTTCAGTATTGGTTTTCTTCAGTACTAGTGGCTTCAGTATTGGTTTTCTTCAGTACTGGTGGCTTCAGTATTGGTTTTCTTCAGTACTGGTGGCTTCAGTACTGGTGGCTTCAGTATTGGTTTTCTTCAATACTGGTGGCTTCAGTATTGGTTTTCTTCAGTACTGGTGGATTCAGTATTGGTTTTTCTTCAGTACTGGTGGCTTCAGTATTGGTTTTCTTCAGTACTGGTGGCTTCAGTATTAGTTTTCTTCAGTACTGGTGGCTTCAGTACTGGTTTTTCTTCAGTACTGGTGGCTTCAGTATTGGTTTTCTTCAATACTGGTGGCTTCAGTATTGTTTTCTTCAGTACTGGTGGCTTCAGTATTGGTTGTCTTCAGTACTAGTGGCTTCAGTATTGGTTTTCTTCAGTACTGGTGGCTTCAGTATTGGTTTTCTTCAATACTGGTGGCTTCAGTATTGGTTTTCCTCAGTACTGGTGGCTTCAGTATTGTTTTCTTCAGTACTGGTGGCTTCAGTATTGGTTTTTTTCAGTACTGGAGGCTTCAGTATTGGTTTTTTCTTCAGTACGGGTGGCTTCAGTATTGGTTTTCTTCAGTACTGGTGGCTTCAGTATTGGTTTTCTTCAGTACTGGTGGCTTCAGTATTGGTTTTCTTCAGTACTGGTGGCTTCAGTATTGGTTTTCTTCAGTACTGGTGGCTTCAGTATTGGTTTTCTTCAGTACTAGTGGCTTCAGTATTGGTTTTCTTCAGTACTGGTGGCTTCAGTATTGGTTTTTCTTCAGTACTGGTGGCTTCAGTATTGGTTTTCTTCAGTACTGGTGGATTCAGTATTGGTTTTCTTCAGTACTGGTGGCTTCAGTATTGTTTTCTTCAGTACTGGTGGATTCAGTGTTGGTTTTCTTCAGTACTGGTGGCTTCAGTATTGGTTTTCTTCAGTACTGGTGGCTTCAGTACTGGTTTTTCTTCAGTACTGGTGGCTTCAGTATTGGTTTTCAATACTGGTGGCTTCAGTATTGGTTTTCTTCAGTACTGGTGGATTCAGTATTGGTTTTCTTCAGTACTGGTGGCTTCAGTATTGGTTTTCTTCAGTACTGGTGGCTTCAGTATTGGTTTTTCTTCAGTACTGGTGGCTTCAGTACTGGTTTTTCTTCAGTACTGGTGGCTTCAGTATTGGTTTTCTTCAATACTGGTGGCTTCAGTATTGGTTTTCTTCAGTACTGGTGGCTTCAGTATTGGTTTTCTTCAGTACTAGTGGCTTCAGTATTGGTTTTCTTCAGTACTGGTGGCTTCAGTATTGTTTTCTTCAGTACTGGTGGCTTCAGTATTGGTTTTCTTCAGTACTGGTGGCTTCAGTAATGGTTTTCTTCAGTACTGGTGGCTTCAGTATTGGTTTTCTTCAATACTGGTGGCTTCAGTATTGGTTTTCTTCAGTACTGGTGGATTCAGTATTGGTTTTCTTCAGTACTGGTGGCTTCAGTATTGGTTTTCTTCAGTACTGGTGGATTCAGTATTGGTTTTCTTCAATACTGGTGGCTTCAGTATTGGTTTTCTTCAGTACTGGTGGATTCAGTATTGGTTTTCTTCAGTACTGGTGGCTTCAGTACTGGGTTTCTTCAGTACTGGAGGCTTCAGTACTGGGTTTCTTCAGTACTGGTCTTCTTCAGTACTGGTCTTCTTCAGTACTGGTGGCTTCAGTATTGGTTTTCTTCAGTACTGGTGGCTTCAGTATAGGTTTTCTTCAGTACTGGTGGCTTCAGTATTGGTTTTCTTCAGTACTGGTGGCTTCAGTATTGGTTTTCTTCAGTATTGGTGGCTTCAGTATTGGTTTTCTTCAGTACTGGTGGCTTCAGTACTGGTGGCTTCAGTACTGGTGGCTTCAGTATTGGTGGCTTCCTCAGAAGTTACTTGTGGCAAAATATTGCTTCAATAAATGTCCTGAAATATACATGAGTGATCTTGTCATCATTTTGTCTGCCTCAACTTACCAATCACTTTTTTTCTGAAAACTTTTATTATAGAATACTTACAATATACTTTTCGGTGTGTCTGTTTCCAATAGCATGGTGATACATGGAGTCAAGTTTGCCATGAGCTCCACATAGGTTACATTTAAAGTAAGGCGATCTGTGACTACAAGCATATTCTTCAATCATCTGCAAACCTGCAACAAAAACAGGGATTAATGTTAGTCTTGCACTAAGCTGATAGTGACTACACCTCTGCCACTCCTTGTACCCAATAATTTAAACAATTTTAGAACCTCTCATAAATACAGTGGACCCCCGGTTAACGATATTTTTTCACTCCAAAAGTATGTTCAGGTGCCAGTACTGACCGAATTTGTTCCCATAAGAAATATTGTGAAGTAGGTTAGTCCATTTCAGACCCCCAAACATACACGTACAAACGCACTTACATAAATACACTTACATAATTGGTCGCATTCGGAGGTAATCATTATGCGGGGGTCCACTGTATGTTAATACAGCAGAACCTTTAATTATTGGATTCTAATTTAACCCTTAAACTGACCAAATATAGATCTACATTTGCACCGCTAGTGCTCCAAAGGTAGATCTACGTTTCATTTTTCTTGCCTCCAAATTTGGCATGACTGGATTGAGATGGCAGGTCAGTTTAGAATGGGTCTTAACACTCAGTGTGCACAGTAATAAAAAAATCTAGAACTACTTAGTACCTTGTGGGAACACCAGTAAAATTGAGCACCAGCAAGAGCAAATGGTGTGGCAAACACCTGGGATTCACTGATGTCGTGTCATATTAACACTTCCCTTGTAAGAGGAAAGTTATGGATGTGGCCATAAGTGATTGAGGAAATATCATAAACCTCTATAATAACCCATGTGTAACATTTGTGCAACATCCTTTCAGTTTTGATACCACTGGCTGTCTCTCTGTCTGTATCTGTCTGTCTGTCTATATCGCTGTCACATGTACACAGTAGTAATTATAGTGTAAATTACCTAGGATAACCCAAAAATTCCAGGCAAAGTGCTATACAGTGCTTGTAGATATAAGGCATAATATCCATGACTGGCAACTCAGTGGCAAGTAATACGCATTTTCACTTCAGGAATCAGACATGACTACTGCATGGTGTGTACTACATGTTGGCTTATGTGGCATGCAAAGAGTAGGTAACCTTTATTCGGCGCATGTACACACCCTCATTGAAAGGCTATCTCCCCAACCAGCGAACCAGGTACTAAGGGTTGATGATGGGGCCCCGTCGTTCAATCAGTACCCAGGTTCCAGCCAATGAGAAGATGGTTTTGGTAAATGCAGAGGTTATGTGGGTACCACTCACCTGTCTGCCCTTGACATTCCCATTCTAGAGCTGGTTGAAGCATGGTCTGCTCTCTAGTGGCTTCTATTCTGCCTTGCTTACCGTGGAGTGCACTAATACCTATTGTTGTACATAGTGTATACAGTGTACATGCTTCTGTTCTAAATTGGTGAAGGATAATACAAGTCAAAAGTTTTTCTGCTGTGTTTATTTTGCTCCCTTTACACCCAGGATAACAGGCCTTTGGGACTCCTGGGTTGTAATATGGGTAGCCTCTCCGAGAGCTGGAGCTGGACTTAGAGCATGGGTTGAGCCTAGGGTGACGCTGGAAGCAGGAACATTGTGTAGCTTGCTGTCTGGCAATGCATTAGCTTTGCCTACGCTTTACAAACTTTGCGTGTCAATTGTCTTGCTATGGTCAGCCTTGCTATTGTATGATCATTCAACAGCTTGTTACTATCTTGTTTGGTGTGCTCGCTACACTACGGTCAATCTTGTGTGAAGATTTGCAGTCCGCTTTGCTATTGTGTATCCGCCTTGCAAACGTATGTTTGCAAGGCGTATTGACTGCGGATACACAATAGCCATGTTATTACTGGGTAACAACATTACCACTGCTAGTGTATGTCCTGAACCCATAATGATTAACCCTTTGATTGTCGCGGCCGTATATATACATCTTACGAGGTACCGTGTTGGACGTATATATACTAATAAATTCTAGTGGCTTCAAATCAAGCAGGAGAAAGCTGGTAGGCCCACACGTGAGAGAATGGGTCTGTGTGGTCAGTGTGCACCATATAAAAAAATCCTGGAGCACGCAGTACATAATGAGAAAAAAAAAACTCCGACCGTTTTTTTTAATTAAAATGCATATGTACACACCCTCATTGAAAGGCTATCTCCCCCAACCAGCAAACCAGGTACTAAGGGTTGATGATGGGGCCCCATCGTTCAATCAGTACCCAGGTTCCAGCCAATGAGAAGATGATTTTGGCAAATGCAGATGTTATGTGGGTACCACTCACCTGTCTGCCCTTGTCATTCCCATTCTAGAGCTGGTTGAAGCACGGTCTGCTCTCTAGTGGCTTCTATCTGCCTTGTTTACCGTGGAGTGCACTAATACCTATTGTTATACATAGTGTATATAGTGTACATACTTCTGTTCTAAATTGGTGAAGGATAATACAAGTCAAAAGTTTTTCTGCTGTGTTTATTTTGCTCCCTTTACACCCAGGATAACAGGCCTTTGGGACTCTTTAAGACTGAGAGACAAGCAGACAGAAAAACACACGCACAGGCAGATAGGAAGACTGAGATACACAGGCAGACAGAACGACACACACACACAGGTAGACAGAAAGACCGAGACACCCAGTCAGACAGAAAGACACACACACACACAGGCAGACAGAAAGACACACACACACAGGTAGAAAGAAACGCCGAGACACACAGGCAGACAGAAAGACCAAGACACACACAGAGGCATACAGAAAGACAGACACACACAGGCAGACAAAGAGACCGAGACATACAGGCAGACTGAAAGAGAGACACACGGGCAGACAAAAAGATAAGCAGATAGACAGATAGCCTGATAGAGAAACAGACAGAAAGACAAACAGATAGATAAACAAACATGTTTGTGTGTAACAGTGTAAACAAATAAAGCCAGGGTTCTCTGCAGCAGGGCACTATCACATACAGTGGAACCCCAAGTTTCGAACTTTCTTCGTTCCAGAAGGCTGTTCGAGTGCCGTTACCGAACGAATTTATTCCCATAAAGAATAATGTAAATCAGATTAGTCCATTTCAGACCAAAAAAAATATACTTAAAAAAGCACTTACAATAATACACTCACATAATTGGTCCAGTTGGGAGCTGTATGAAACTCGGGGTTCCACTGCATATACTCTAGCATGTCTAAAACATTGCTGGGACCTATACTTTGTATATACTTCTAGACAATAGTAAATGACCAAGGCAGGTGAAAATGTACACCTGCTTGTGTGACTGTGACTATTTCAGTACCTAATATTAGCTTCAGAACAAAGATTGGCTATGAAATCACAAGGACTATTATAAATTGTAATTATCAGAACATAAAAATTATATAAATTAAAATAAAAATGAGAAAAAAAGGTATATTGGCAACACTTCTGGAAGTAGCAGGACTCCATGCTGATGTCAGGTGAGCATCCAGCAAAAACTTTGCGGTCTTATGTTTCGGTAAGTACTAGTCCTAAAAATTTTTTCTTTGGTCTCATAATACACAGAAAATTGCCCTCTTTAACCCTTTCAGGGTTTCGGCCGTACTAGTACAGCTTACGCACCAGGGTTTTTGACGTACTAGTATGCCTAAATTCTAGTGCCCTCAAATCTAGTGAGAGAAAGCTGGTAGGCCTACATATGAAAGAATGGGTCTACGTGGTCAGTGTGCACAGTATAAAAAAAATCCTGCAGCACACAGTGCATAATGAAAAAAAAAAAAGCTTTGACAGTGTGTTTGGATTAAAACAGCGACTTTGCACTGTATTTCCTATGGTATTGTTGTATTCTAGTTTTCCTGGTCTCATTTTATAGAATGGAAGACATATTACAAAAATTGAGATGATTTTGACTGGTTTTACAAAGAAAAGTACCTTGAAATTGAGCTCAAAGTAGCAGAAATGTTCGATTTTTACCAAAGTTCAAAAGTAAACAAATCATGCTGTGTCCAATACACATCAACTGGTGAGTCTAATATTCTTTCACAAGTGAGCTGATATTATTTATACCATTTCTACACTAATGCAGTAGTCTGCATAACAGTAAATCTTCTATTTTTTTGTGAGAATAAAAATTCAAAGCGGAAAGCAAAAGAATGTAAGAGGGGCATGGGGACGTGACTAATGAACAGAGGAAATGTTATTTTAGTGCTAGGAATGTCTTTCTTGTTTATTCTGGACCCTATTCGGAAACTGGCATCTTTTGAAATTTGTGTGAAATTGGCAAAATTGCTAAATTCTGACCACTGTATTGGATAGTTGAAATCGGTAAATGGGTGGTTTCTTGTACTCATTCGATAGAAAAAATGGAGTTCTAGCGAAATAGTTATGATTTTTGTCGACAAGTACACTGAATTGGCCGAAAATAGGGCTCAAAGTGGGCAAAATCGCCGATGCGTAAACATCGTCGAGATTGCTAACTTCGCAAGAGCATAATTCCATAAGTTTTCCATCAAATTTCATACTTTTGGCGTCATTATGATCAGGAAAAGATTCTCTGTCTTTCCTTAAGAAAAAATATTTTTTTTTTTAAATTTGGCCGACCCTGAGAACAAGCCTCTGAGAGGGCCTGTCGGCCCTGAAAGGGTTAATATAAAAAAAAAAGTTTTTTTTATTTTTCAAAATATTCGGAGCGCTGGCAGTGAATATGTAGATCTACGTTTGGACAGTTTAACCCCTTGACTGTTTCAGCCGTATATATACGTCATACGAGATACCATGTTTGACGTATCTATACGCATAAATGCTAGCGGCTTCAAATCAAGTGGGAGAGGGCTGGTAGGCCTACATGACAGAGAATGGGTCTGAGTGGTGGGTGTGCACCCTGTGAAAAAAATCTGGGACTCAGCGGTGCATTGTGGGAACGCCATCTTGGTAGTCCATTTTCACCATGTCCCGCGGTAAGAAGTTCCTCACTCCTCAGCCAATTGGAGGTCTTTTGTTCCCAAGTGATAGCTCTAACAGCGATGAAAGTGTCAGTGAAAGTGAATTCCCTGGCTTTCAAGCAGGTGTGACTGAAAACATGCCCAGGCTAACGTAATTTAGTGATAAAAACCCAGATACCCACAACCTTCCACCTCGGT